AGAATGGCAGTTTGCGGTCCATCACCAGAAGCACCTTCAGCACAATCCTGGGAAGGTAGGTGCTGTAAGCTAACTTGTGCTACTTCGGCCGGAACAGTACCTGGATCATTATCGACTTCATCATCGCTCATCTCAGCCGTTTCCTCCTCGATGGCGGCCATACGCAGTACAAAGTTATCCTGCAATTTTTTCAGCCATTCCCGGAGAGCGTCCCCTTCCAGTGTTCCATTCCGCGCTTGTAAAAGTTGCTCTCTCAAAGAAAGCAGCAGATTACGCTTACGTGATAGCATGAGCGCCTTGGACTTGCTATGCCGGCGCTGTGCTATCTTGTTCAACTTCTCCGATACTGCCTGAGCGCATTCGAGCACGCCTGGCGGCAGATCCACAAGCTTTGCCACCGCAAGGCCGTAGAATTGCGTCGTGTCTGGACCTTCGGCGATCTTGTAAAGCATTACCATCCGAGATATGTCCGGTGAGATTTCGGCGGCCAGATGGAGACTGACCACGCCGCTGCGCTCTGCCAGGATCAAAGCCAAGTCGCGGAAGTGCGTAACGAACCAGACAAGTGCGCGGCTTTCGATAAGAGCTTCCGCAATGGCGATGGCAATTGCGAGGCCATCGGTCGTACTCGTGCCGCGGCCGAGCTCGTCCACAATCACCATACTCCGTGGCTCGATATTATGGAGGATAAACGCCATCTCGCGCATTTCAACGGCGAAGGTTGAGACATTCGCCTCGAGATCGTCGGATGTAGAGACGCGAGCGAAGAGCTGGTGGATTACCGGGAAGGATGCATACTCTGCTGGAACAAAGCAGCCAATCTGCGCCATGATGGTCATCAGCGCCAGTGAGCGGATATAAGTCGATTTACCACTCATGTTCGAGCCAGTGATTATCTGAAAACGCGATTGCTGAGTTGCGTAAGCGTCATTGGGAATGAATTTCTTCGTATGGATCTTCTCTCGAATCGGGTGCCGTCCGGATTTGATGGCGAGCACATCCGTCAATTCGGGTCGGATGTATTCGTTACATGAGGCAAGCTCTGCAAAAGCAGCAAGCATATCAAGCATGGCTATAGCTTCGCTCACCTTGAAAAGGGCGGATATTTCTGAGCAGACATCGTTGATAAGGCTTTGAATGGTTTGATCGCTCATGTTGATGACCTCATTATGTGCGTCTATGATTTTCTGGTTTAGCTTGACGAGGTCAAGCGTCTGGCATTCTATGCGGTTTTTTCTGCGGTATATATTGATAAAGATTTCCGGGAGAGTCTCTACCTCCGAAGCGGAGATATTGATATAATACTGACGAGCCGAATCGAACTTGAGGTCTAGATTGAGGTTGTGCGATTCTGTGAAAGGATAGGCATCAATATCAACTACACGAGAGCAGAACTAACGCAATGTACCTGAGAGTTTGGCCACAAGGTCCGCGGCATCTACATTTGCTTCTTTATATGTTTGCCGTGCGACATCGAGGAGACTATTGACTCCGGCCTGCAGCGAGGTGGTCATTAGCTTCTGTCAATAATATACGGTCCGGAGAGAGTGTGAATCATACCCTGATGCAGTATATACGCTGATTTCTAAGATCAAGCGGTTTGGTCTGGTACGTTACATGTTCATTCAATGTCTCTTCAACAAGCTGTTCTATTGCTCGGTGGCCTGCTGGAGCGCATAACTGACAGGCGTCAGTGGCAGCAGCCAGTATACGTCGGGCCAGGGTATACCTCTCGTATAGTCATGAGAAGGCTACTCTGAGCCGTCGCAAGTGCTTTATATATTGACTTGATTGATGACACATATGTTTTGAGCATGATGACATTGTTGACTGATTGCTCCACGTACTGAAAGGTACGTTTTGTGGGAGCGAGGATAAGCTGCGATGTCAGCCATGGCTAGTATCGGTACTATAGAGGGAGGGAACTGACAGTCGTCAAAACTTTGTCTGCATCGACGAAACCTTTCAGGGCTATGGGGCACTCAGAGATTAGTGGTATATGAACAGTTCAGATTAAGCCCGAACAAACCTTGTCTCACAGAGATGAACATATCCTCTTTGGTTGAGAGATCTTCGACGGCGTCGTATCTTGCCAACAACTTCGAATTTTCTGTGCAGGGCTGCAAAATATTGGCCCTAAGGAGCCTGGCGCCCATTGGGGTCAACGTTTCATTGAGCAGGCCGAAGAGGCTATCCTTCGACTTTGCATTCTGAAGATTCTGAATCAATTCGAGCGAGGCTATGGTGGACAAGTCAATTGACATGGAGCCTTGAGAAGGTTCGAATCTGATTCGCAGAGAATGTGATGTAAATACCCGGTCAAGCTCGAGTTCGATGTACTTGAGCACCTGCTGGACATCAGAGTCATGACACTTGAGAATTTATCGATGCAAATCTTACAGCAGCCAAGCAGCACGATGCAAAGTAGTTTCCTCCAAGAGCGATTTTGATTGTTTCAACATCTTGCGGAAACGCCAAACGATCCACATATTCGTGGCCAACCTTCTCTGACCAATGCCTGCGGTCGAGGAAAGTGTAAGTAGTGTCTGGAATGTTTTCCTGGATGATGTAGAAGAGTTTGGATTCTTTGGCAGAGCTCATGAAAAGGATCTCTGTGGGTTCGAAAACAGCGATCTTGGTGACCGTTTTGGCATAGGTCTGACTGTCGCAGATCTGGCATAAGACTGTCTCCGCTGTTGACAGATTGACGAATGCAAGTCCGACAGTTGATGATACTCCTCTAGACTCACTGATAGCACAGATGATGTCCTGAGATGCAATACTTGTAGCAGTTGTGGCTGGTCTTGCTGTCCGGGGTCGGTCGCTATCCTGTCTAGAGGTAAGAGCAGCAAAGGAACTAGCTTCCCCAAAGGAGGAGACACGAGACAATGATCTCGTCATTCTTGCAAATATAGCAATCATAGGAAATCATCATCAGAAAAAGCGAGGAAAGGAAGTGAAGAGGAGAACAGAGGATTGTCTACTCCATACGACTGCCGTTGTATACGATAAGGAGGGTAATCCATATCCGGTTTAGCGCCGATCTCCACCCCCCGCGATAAGTGATTTCGATGAATTTTTTTTCTCTTGAGGGTCGGGATTATTGCTCAAGACAACAACCATAGCAATCGCTAATAATAATCCCTTTTGGACAAGATGGCGACTCTTTTACCCCCTCCGAGCAAGCGCCAAAAGTTGGAGACTGCGGAAAAGGCACGACTTCAGCAGGAAATCGAGAGCATTCCGGACAACCTGGGAAGCGTCCGAGTACAATTCTTTGATCAAGCAACCGGGTCCGCAACTGGTCCTTCAGTCTCCGTTCCGGTGGCTGACGCCAACATCAAGAACCTCGAGACTCTTTTGAATACACTACAAGGCAATGTAGGTACGCAGGAGATTTCAATTGCGAAAGAATGTCGGAACTAAAGCTCTATACCTCAAATCTAGGACGATGACGAACGAGTACCATACCGATTCACCTACCAGTCTGAMGACCAAGATGGCCAAACGATCGATATTCTTGCAGGCCTGTACCATTCCTTGCTTAAGCCAGGACTGAAGACGACTGAAGATACTATCCAACTTTATTTCACGCCGCAGGCCGTTTTCCGGGTGAAAGCTGTTTCGCGATGCTCCGCTTCGATCGCCGGACACGGAGAGGCGATTCTTGCGACTTCCTTCTCGCCGGTCTCTTCGTCTACCATGGTCTCTGGAAGTGGTGACTCGACGGCGCGGATCTGGGATTGCGACACAGGAACCCCCAAGCATAACCTCAAGGGCCACACCAGCTGGGTTTTGGCTGTAGCCTACTCGCCCAACGGAGCAATAATCGCAACAGGAAGTATGGATAACACTGTGCGACTGTGGGATGCGGCAAAAGGAACACCTTTAGGCGGACCACTTAAGGGCCATGCGAAGTGGATTACCAGTCTGGCGTGGGAGCCCTATCATATGCAGGAGTCGGGCAGGCCTCGCTTAGCCTCCGCGTCGAAAGATTCGACGGTCCGCATATGGGATGTTGTTGGAAAAAGAATTGACACTGTTCTCACCGGACACAAGGGCTCGGTCACCTGCGTGCGCTGGGGTGGGACAGGGAAGATTTACACTTCTTCACACGATAGAACGATCAAGATCTGGAACGCACAGAATGGTTCGCTGCTTCAGACATTATCGGCCCACGCGCACCGCGTGAATCACCTGGCGTTGTCGACGGACTTCGCTCTCCGAACAGCTTACCATGACCACACCGGCAAGGTTCCAGCGTCGGACACGGAGAAGGTGGCTGCAGCGAAGAAGCGCTTTGAACAGGCTGCCACGGTCAACAATAAGATCGTCGAGAAGCTGGTGTCGGCGAGTGACGATTTCACCATGTATTTGTGGGACCCCGAGAACTCTACCAAACCTGTCGCGCGGCTGCTGGGCCACCAGAAGGAGGTCAACCATGTCACCTTCTCTCCCGACATGGCCTACATTGCCTCGGCGGGTTTCGACAACCATGTGAAGCTTTGGAATGGACGGGATGGGAAGTAAGTCGTGAGATTGGAATGTTCCACCATCATTCAGCGGCTAACCAGACCATTTAGGTTCATCACCACTCTCCGGGGCCATGTAGGCGCTGTATACCAGTGCTGCTTCTCCGCGGATTCTCGCCTGCTCGTGTCCTCGTCGAAGGACACCACCTTGAAGGTCTGGAACGTCCGCACGGGTAAACTCGCCATGGACCTCCCGGGGCATAAAGACGAAGTCTTCGCCGTGGACTGGAGTCCAGACGGACAGAGAGTGGGCAGTGGAGGAAAGGACAAAGTTGTGCGGATATGGACCAACTAATCTAGATTCATCATAGAGCCGAACACAGATACCCTATGGCTTAAATCTATTATTATATAACTCCATTGCCCTCCTACTCGTCTAGTCTAGGGTCTATCGCGCCTAACGCCATCAAACAAACCGGGATCCGCAGCGCAACCGCTTCCTCTACTACAGAACCCCTGGCAAAAGGATCAAGTATACTGGAAAGCACCAGGCTGCGACGACATGAATGGGATAACCGTCGCCACGAACCGCACACAAGCAGTAACATTACCCGCCGGCACAGTCGCATTCCGCAACGCCGCAAACACCCTCCACCTCCGGTCCGTCGTGGGACAAGCCATGAAGTCACGCGCCCCCAGGCCTGTAAAATGCCAGGCCCCGCCGGCCTGGAAGAAGGGACCCGTAGACGCGCCGGGGGGAATAGAAGGCGAGTGAGCCGGGGTGAAGTGGACGGCACCATCGCTGGTGACGAAGATTTGCTGGCCGCCGGGGACGAGGACGTCCTGTTCATGTCGACGTGGTCAGTATGGTGGTCGTCGTCGACTGCCTGGATAGGTATGTGGGATAAGGGGCGTACCAAAGAGCTAGCATCCCCATTCAGGACGGTACGGTTACCCGGTGGACAGCCCGACGCCAGGGGACAGGTGGAGGCTGTCTGGCCATTCAGGAAGAACGTGAGATTGGACGCGGTCATCATGCGATTGTCGACGGGTGTCCCTGGGGCTCTGGCTCTGACCTCGAAGGGGATACCGGCGGTTTGGTTTTCTGCTGCTGCCAATGCAGCGAGGAAGGAGAGTAGCATTAGCCTCATTACGGGGGTTGGTGGCCGTCTTCCAGTAGAATTGATTGAGACTGAAAAAGCGCGCTGGTATAGAATGTAGTGAGCAAGGGGAGAAAGGTGTCATGGCTACTTAAGGTAATGTTTATATGAGAAGATCGGTCTGGCTATATTAGACCGACTTCATCATCATGACCACATTCGGATGTTGAATGCTCGTGTCGGCTCGGTAGAGATGTTGTTGGGTCATGATTCAAACACACATATCCTCAAATGTCATGATGATCTGCGAGCCTCGAGCACCAGAATCAGTCGGTTAAATCCAGGGCCCATGGAATCTCATTCTTTCGTCTTCGATTCCAGAAAGTGACAATAACATGCCAGCTTTATGCGACCTCAACAGTGCCGCCTGAACAACCTGTGAACTCCTCTAGAAACGAAGAACTGGCATTCGAGAGCATCATTTCACGTCTATCCAGTATTATCTGCCGCCTTGAGCAACCTTGCAGACACACATTCGCCTATTCTCAGCGAACGCAATGTCGGGACACATCCGGCGTACCCATGGCATCATCATGGCGGCATCGGATCTCAAGCCCACAGCCATTATGAAACATCATCTTACCTCACGAAACCCCCTCCGTGCTATTGACAATGACTTGTGCCGAGAAGGCCCTTGTAATTCTGAAAGAAGCACCTTTTATATGTGGCGATACAAGACAGCGGTTCATGCAGTTCACAAATTCGTCGAACTCAAAAATGCGCTTTAATCGAACTACAGTCGCTGATCGATCTGTTGGCCCGGCAGGTCCCCGTTTCTAGCTAGAGTGTCTGGTCCAATCAGCATTGGCTTTCTCAGGGAATTGAGACTTGGTGTTTTTATATGTCCTGCGTATATATATACCCCCCGGAGGTTAGACAACCAAGTACAACGTACACGCGGTCACCGACGTAGGCGAAAATCTCTGGCCCACGGCGAATATAATAACAATAATCGATAGTTTATAAATTCTTACATTTTCAGATTCATGGTTGTTTTCATAGTACAGTGATAGGTTATCGGACTGTTTTTGGTTTTATTCACCTAGCCTGATCTGTGCATGTAGACAACCAATCCAGGATATAGCGCACTCTGAAGGTAATTGTGTTCTCTCAGAGAAGTGTCACAAAAGCAAGGAAAGAGGAATAGAAGCACAAGAAAAGAAAGCAAGCAATTGAATCCCTCGCCACCGACCTTTATAGCAATACAAATCCATCCTGTTGACAAAGCAAACCCTTCCGAGAACACCGCGTAAGGAACCCCGGATTTTACCCCATTAATGCCCGTAGAAATATCAAAAAACTCACTTGTTGCCCAGTTTTGCAAACGAATGACTTCAGCAAGCTTACGCTGTCATCCACTATTCGTAATCATCACCGTCGTCATCACCGTCACCACCACGCCCCCGAGGACCCTTGACACCGTCTTTACGAATAGGTATCTTGATGCCCTGAAGAGCAAAACACTTGCTTAGCTGCGTGCTCTCAATGACGCCCGGGAACTTCTTAGCGGAGAAGACCTGGAACGGCTCGGAGAAGACGGAAGCGAGAACGGGGGCAGAACCGTGATTGATCACAGGCGTATTGTTTGTGGAGTCGCCAGACTGTGTGCCGACGTTGACGAAACTCATCTTCAAACTATGATTCCGATTAGTTTGGACAATCACAAGCACAAATGGCCAGAGAAGATGCTTACCGGAAGGTTCCCTCGGTTCGCACACTCAAATCTTGCAAAATGAACCATACCCCAATCTTGTTATCGGGATCAGTGAGTCTGAAGGCGCTGGCGCTGAGACTTCCGATGAGATTGCGTGTGAACATGCCACCGGGCCCCGCCGTAACTGGCTGCTGCGCAGGTGACATGCCAGCCGGGGGCATCTGACCTCCAGCGTAATACGGCGGATAGTAGGAAGCCTGTGGATTGGCCCCGTATTGATACGCTAACTGAGGATTGCCCCCGTAATAATTGTTCATCTGCGGGTATCCGACGGGCTGGCCGTACGGGTTCTGTGCGAAGGCGGGATAAGTAGGAGAAAGATTTTGCGGAGGTGGCGGGTATGATGAGGACATTGCTGTCGATATTGATGGCGAGGTGGCCGAGTGTTTGACAAGGTTCACTTCGCTGGTTCCATCTGCATTCCACAGATCGACCGTGAGAACGTAGAAGGACGTATCAATCTCACTGGAGGATGTGAGTTAGCAAAGTTGGCATCGCATAGAAAAATGAAGGTCCACGTACTTAATATCGATCTCTTTTTCAGTTTGTGCATCTCTGACTATCAAGCGGATGCAGGGGGGAGGCGTGATTGGTCTTCGATCCTGATGAAACAGTCAGACACCTTCCGAGGATAAAAATGAAACATCCGAAACTTTTACTGACCTTATCGCCAAAGCCACACATGCGAGCTCGAATAGGCTGTTGCACCACCTGAAGAGACCAGATGCGGCCCTCGTGGATGGTCGAAACCGAGGCAAGGTGGTCCGCAGATCGCATCGGACCGGCTGAACCTGGGGTCGGATATGCAGAGGACGGAGGAGGAATGCGATCCATAGAGAGAGGAGGTGGTGGCGGCGGGACTGGATGGGACCTTTCCTCGACGGCGTACATGGTTCGTAAGCTCAAGGAACCGAGGACGGCACCAGGTATGAATAGAAGAGAAAGATGTTATTTCTCGTAGGTTATAGAGTGCTGCAGTCAAGCGGAAAAAGAGGAGGGGTATATATGTGACATGCGACGAAGCGGGAATTCAACGTCACTGTTGAAGCATCGACTGTAGGCCGCACTGAGGGGTGATGCCTCCGCGATCGGAATGAGGACGGTGAAATTGCACTTCAGCACGACCAGCGCGTGATGCAACGGACTGACGTCGCAAAGCGAGGTCCCCCGCAGGATATGTGAAATATATATAATATCGCACAAAGCCGTATCAAAGCTTCTATTGTCGCCCGGTCTTCGTTTGTAGAATTTCAACCGGATGTTTGTGGTAGAGCCGGCGTCGCAAAAAGGTCTCTCGTCGGTCGCGGAGGTGCAGTTTCTTGCGAGTGCGAAGGTGTAGTTTGAGACGCCGAAAAAGGCGGCAGTGGCAAATCTTGAACGGAAAATATTCGGAAATGACGAGGGTGGTGTTGTAAGTGAGGTGATTCGAGTTGCAAATCCAGCTCGAAAGCGCCAGGAACTGAATAGCTCTCTCGATCCGCAATACTATTGAATATAACCAGAGACACAATCAGCCAGCTCGGAATTGGCGCAACACAGCTCAGAGCTTCCGACGGACGTAAAGGCGGTCGATTTGGGTGAGCCGTAATGAGAAGCTGTCAAAGTGCGGGAGATTCGCTGAGCCTTCCACGGATCGCTTGAGGACCAAGGGTTCGCCGACACGGTTCAAGGCTGATCCACTAGAAGATGCAATGAGCTTCAGCGACAACAATCCGGTTCGTCAAGCGCTGACCTTGAATTGGCACTGGTGAGGATCAACGCAAAAAGTCGAAAGACCACGTCAAAAAGACGGTCGTAGGATATGGCGGGGTGAAAGAAGTTGGGAGACTGAGGAGAGACCAAAAACGGACGGTAGAGGGGAAAAAGAGAAGGTCACGGGTATGAGAGATCTAGACTGGAAGGCCGCGCTCGTGCTTTACCACGTTTTCCTTGTCCTGGATTTGGGCTCGACCCTAATCAATGGTTATTTGAATATTCTGCTCTTGCTGACATGAATTTAATTTTATTGAAAGTTGAGTTTATATGAAATCCAACCCCTAAGTCGAGACATGCCGGACTCTTGTCAGTGGTCGGTCCGGAATAGTACTAAGTACCTTACTTTACTATGATTATTGTGAGCGACACGGATCGGGAGGTGATCAGCCCGGCGCAGGAACCTCGACCCAGACGGTCGGGTTTCCTCTTCTCGTCAGCCTATCCATCCATCAGCTTCACACAGCTATCTCCTTATTCCAAGCAACAGTTGATGAATCACTTTTGACACCTATCGTTCACCTGACACTATCCGTATTTTCTTCTTCCCTCTTATCTAAATATTTTTGAGAAAAAGAACCTCTATCTTCCTTTTCACCACTGCATACTTCCTTGTCGGCTCACTCAAGGACAGGATTCCGTCATCCAGGTCGTGGGGCCTGCAGTAATCAGCGATGTAACGAGGGGACTGGATGATTTGACAAGAATTTACGCCCAACTGCTGCATTCTGCGAGAAGTGGAGTGTCGGATCACCAATCCAACTGACCGAGACCGACCAGCCAACCATCCCCATGTCTGTTGTCCAACGCTGACTGGCGGTCCTCCCAGCTGGGTCGGTCAACTCGGTCTTTTGCACGAATTGAGAAACAAGGAGAAACAGCGAGAGCGGCAGTTGCAGTATTATCTATCTGTGACTATCTAGATACAGAGTGTACCTAGAATCCCAGATACCACCATGCAAATGGAAAGGACCAGGTCATGTCCGCATCGGGTTAGACTGCCGCTGATCTTGACTTTGCATGGCCGTTTTCGTCATGATCTGTCTCTCTCTCTCCGTTCATCTGCAAAAGAGAATCATGACGCCAAGCACATATCCATCAGATTCGGAGCTAATGAATTGTCGGAGAATATTATTCCAGTCGCCCAAGCTCTGGCTGCAGGATTGACTGTTGGCAGCTTCTTTGCGGCCCAAGATGCACCTGTCCTTTTTTAGTCAGATCATCAGCGGATGGATTCCCATCAATTGATATCATGCACCTATACAATACACTCTCTGGGATGGCGAGCTTGCTGGGACTGGAGCAAATCCCGCGCAAGAAATCCTGGTCAATGGAGATCTTCCTCTTTCGTCTTCGAGAGTGTCACTAGATACTGCAAGTGACTGTTTCGGCTGGCTTGCAGTAGGTTGGTGATATCTCTGCTCATATAGGATGTGATTTATGCCTCATGGTGTAACCTAAAACCACATTGCCCACTCCGTTCTTTTTCATCATCGGACCCCTAGCAGCAGACACCGGGAGTTTAGCTTTCAGTACGACAAAAGTACTCAAATTCGTTTATACGAATGGCTAGGTGGCTGCGGAAGAGCACCACAGTGTGCATAGAATAGAAAAGTGGTATCATATCTATTCACTTACTACCTAAGTACTCCGCTATGTAGGTTTCTTGAGACCGCCCCATCACGTAGAGAATGAAAGCAACCAACTGGCTCTTTCAATTCTGACCGTATTCGCCCTAAATCTGGACTCGAGCAGACATGGCTGCCTGAGGCCATATACCCCGCGTTGATGCCAAGATTAAACTGCTTTCCCGGAAAGGAAACAGATCATCATGGCCTTAGGCAGCTCTTATCGTCAGTGGCTGCCAGATAGCAAATGCTTTTCGGTCAATCGTTTCTATAATCAAATCCCGATCTGAGAGGGAAGACCAGCAAGGCGTTTATCTTTCCAGCGACCATTCACAGAGAGCTCACCAAATGATGTCCTTCCAGCTCTCCACAGAATCAGACGCCGCGATGACGTGTTCATCATTGGATCGAACGCAGTTGCGCCAAGAGGATCCCGATATGCCAGAATCCTTATTGAGAGATACTTTCTGTGTAAGAGGTTCGGCGTCTGATCGACCCGTCTGCACCGAGTTTTAGTTGTCGACGGTGGCGTCGAGGAGATGACTCGGCACATGTGCCCAATACGAGCTTAGTCCAATAATGATTGAATCAGGGTAGTACCAGCACAACGTTAGACCTCCTTGGTATCTTCTCCTTCTCTTCCAGTTGAGAGTTAATTATACCAAGCAATGCTGGACTTGGTCACTCGTCAAGTTGGTGATGCTTTGGACGAAGACCGGAACTCCTGCCATGTTCGTGACAAGGTGGTGGCATATGAGTTTTTCGAGTAGACCAGTGACTCTTTGACCGAGGAGTATATCCTAAGGTTTGCACACTCAGCTATCAGCACGGTAAAGTTCTCAACAATCAAAGTCAAAAGAGGTACCTGCTTTGAAAATTATCTTTGAGTTTACAGGCCTGCGGGCCTGATGCTCACCAGGTGAGACACTTCGATTGTATGTTATCATCACGCTCTTGCAAGTCTTTTTCTGAGGAGCGGCCCCTCGCGAAGACTCTTCTTGCCCTTGGGCTCAATGACGACCGACGAAACGGAAGTCGATGGTTCTCGAAGAAGAGGGCTGGGTCAGTAGGAGTTCAGGGGTAAGTTAGGCTAACGCTTCCCCTAGAGGGCCGCTATTTAGAAGGCTGGAAACCGAAAACAACGAATAGATTGGAACATTCGTGCAGCGAGATTCACAAGTAATCCAGGAGAATGGCGACAAGACATCCACCGTGGAAATTCCGTTAATCACACCGCATAATATATTACTCTGGAGTCAAAATCGCTCGTTTAGCAGAATATATGACTGTGACGCGAGCACTATCGATAAGTCTATTCAACCTTAAAACGGAAACTTAATCCATGATTAAGTTGTTGCTTGTGAGATCGGCGTTCATTGACAGATTCCTCAAAAAGGCCATTGTCACTCCCTCGTTCTATCATGCCCATTATCTTTTCAAGGAAACGAATCTCGAAGGGGTCAATTGACGATCATTTCGAGAGCGCCTTATTAGCCAAAAGCAAATCCCGCACGACACCGCATTTGTTAGACACGTACTTAGCCTGGATCATTCTTACTACAAATAGTTATTGGTCTGGCCGGTGCTGCTTCTTCTGGTAAATGGAGGGTTTGTCGAATACCGCTCGCAAGGGTCTGAGATTGTAATGAGTAAAGGCATGTGCCTGTTGACGGGAAATACATGAACGGAAACTGTCCTCTTTCCCCCTCAGGAATGGTCTCAGAGGAGCCCAGGCGAACACGACAGGTGTAGGAAGATATCGCCAATTGTCGTCGAAACTTGGACACTACATGGAGCCACAGACAGTGTGTAGAAGGCTGTCGCTTTCCGTCTCAAGATTGGTAAGCTCCAAGCTTAGGTGTCATTGCATTTTCCGTTGTCCCGAAAAATCAGTATCGGTCCCAACGGAGCAAGAATGACAGGGATATGTGTGGTCTTGCGTGAAATCACCGTTGGAGACACAATCTAGTTCGAGTTCCTATTACCTGGTATGGATTTCGATGATAAATAGTGACTAAAGGGCGGAATGTCTGAGTTTTTCGTATATTTCTTGGCTCAGGAGCTGTCGCATGCGCTTTCTGGAAGATGGTCGAACAAGGTGCGGAGCATGTCTGAAGCTGAAAGTGTGCGTTGATCTTCTGGAATGGACTCTGCATAATAATGCACCATGTTCAACTTTGATCGTATGTGAATTCGTAGTTCCTGACAATCAGGTTAGCTCGCTCAGGCGTGAGCATACTCACTCAGCTCCCAATTCACAGCGTTTTGTTTAACGGACAAATCCACCCTCCACAGAACCCAAACAAGTCAGAGAACTAGAGACGTTGATCCAATGATGTTAGATCAAGGGAGCCCAAGAGTACTAATTACCCGAAAAGGTAAAAGCAAGTTTGGCTCCAAACTCCGATAAGGATAGCGCCAAGGTGGAGAGCCCGCCGGATTGGTATTTTTGGCTTCTAGGTTCAGCCAGTGGAACAACAAGCAAGTGGAGTTGCAGGTGGATTGTCCGAA